CCAAACCCTTAACTCATCCATGAGTGGACTGGAGGAAGCTCACTTATGCTGTTATTGAACATACACCTGGTATATATACACATTAAACATTATATATTGTCGACGAAAAATGGTATATAAATAATATAAGAAATTTACAATAAAAGACTTGTTTTACATAATTTGCATCTAAAGAAAAATGTATTCTATACAACGATCCGGAAATAATTCAACAGATGATTCTTTACTGCTGAAGTCAAGCATATTTCAAGCAAAGATTAAAAAAAGAAAAAGAAACAAAATAGATATGAAACTTCAATATCTTTACGCTTGATCCATGAACCCTAACCCTAAGTTCAAAACCTTTTTACTCATCTCAAAACATGAAATCGGTGAAAAAATTAATTAGACTTCTCAATTCCTAAAATAGAAGACAACCCACTTTAGAAAAGAATTTAGATAACCCAGAGAAACAACCTACAAATAGACATTCATTAAATCCAAAAATTATATTACCAATTTAGCAGAAATGAAATCTAAGATCATGCATCAACATCACTCATTTCCTTTAAACCGTACGCTCTCACTAAAGATTAAACGCTACTGTTTGTTAGAAATCTGACACAGAGATGGGGTGGGAAACCTCAAACAAGGCAAATAGAGTAAACATCATCCAAACGTGGAAACAACTTTAGCATTTTGAAATCTTCAAAAACCTTTGAAAAATATTACGATAGCCGGAGTACTAAACCAGAACTGAAAGCTTTACTTACGGGGTTTATCCAAGGGATTAGTCTCCATCCGATGATAAAGCTCCAAAAATCGGCAAACCCAAAACATCGCTTTGAAAAACCGATCAGACGTTGCACTAGTCTCATATACACACACAAGCAGATATATACATGTATGTATATATATGTATACGAAAAGGATTAAAAAGCAAGAAAATAAGGGGGAATACTAAAAAAGCAGCGGAATAAGAGTAAGGTAATTAATAAAGAGAAAAGGAAATATTGAAGAAAAATAAAAATGAAAAGTGGAAAGGGGATGTGCACAAATCACGGAAGAGAAAGAGTAATAAAGTAGGGAGAGAGGAGGTTGTCGCTGTCTTTTGTGAGAGTCAGAGAAGGGAAAGCGATTGAATATTTCTCTACGATCAATCTGGTAAAGCTTAAGAGGCATATATAAAGAGAAAGACAAGTAAAAGCGGGATTTTCTTTTTCTTTTTACGGGAGAGACGCTGCAATCCAGTAACCAGGGAACGTTTATTTCTTTGGGTAACAAACTGCTCTCTCTCTCTCTCTCTCTCTCTCTCTCTCCTCACTCTTTCAATGAATGAAGTAATTGAGTAGTAGTGAAGACGTCTGCTACTGTAAATCATATACATACACATGTATGTATGTATATGTGTATGTAGAAATGTACAGTAGAGTGAAAAGAAAGAAAGGATTAGAGGGGTTGGAAGCAAGTGGGTATCGTTTGACCATTCACCATTAGGTTCCAGTGGCAGTCTTCTGTAGTCGTCCCTACCACTGCGGCCTGCGTTTCTTTCTTGAACCTATTTATACACAGGGTTTGAGGCTACTGACTGACACTACTGTTGGAGATATTCTGGATGGAGCTTGTGACGCCATTGTCTAATTAAATCCCATTAATACCCTCTCTTTTTGGTGTACTCACATTTTTATTTCTCTACTTTCTAAACACGTAATTAAAGTAGTTAATTAATCGGTTCAGCTACTTATATTATTCTGTGAGTTCCAAAAAGAGTTTCGGAATTAATGGGTACTAATAAAGTAATTTTAAGACAAAAACAGTATGGGATTTGTAATATTTATTACTAAAAAAATGTTTTTAATATTATATTTAATTTCAATATGATTTATAAAATTAAAAGTAAATATTAAAATAATAAATTATTAATTATTTAAATTATTTTTATAGTACTAATTCCTTTAAAAAAAAAAAAAAACTAATTTTATTAATTTAAAAATAAGATTAATAGTACTTATAAAAAGAAGATGTTTCTTAATTATAATCTGTAATATATTTACTGTCAATTTTATATTTATTGATTTATAAGTTGAAAGTAAAATAGAAAAATTAAGTAATAGTTACATATAATAAAATATATAAAATTAGAAGATAAATGAACACTAATATTTTAAATTATTGGAAATATTATAAAATTTTTAAGGGGTTCACTAATAATTGAGAATAGCTTGAAACAGTAACTGTTAAGTGTAAGTGACAAATACATAACCAAAGTAGCCGTAGAATTGGTCTGATCATGAGTTTAGGAGGATGAGATTGAGAAAATTTATTAACACACAAAGAATTATATTGGTTTGATGTGAGAAACATTATAGGGTTGGTTTTTATAAAATAAAGTAGCATCGTAAGGGCTGTTAATTATTATTGAGTGGATATTGGGGGAGCAAGGGCTGTGTATCCTAAAACATCAAAGCCTTAAGACAAGGAGAAAAGGTTAAATTTGTTTGCTATTTGCTAGAAATGAGTGTTGGTGTTCCTGCAAACTAAGACCTACCTTTATACATGTGGATTATTTCATACATCATCACATTAAAAAGAAAGACAAGGTTTTAAACATCAAGTATATAGAATAGATATAGAGAAATGAGTGTGTGTGTGTGTTTGTATATGTACATACACACATCAAAATAATAGAGTTTGAGCCTGTTGATAGAGCTGCCCCATGTTTGTTTGTCTGAGAAAGAGGCGGGATAGCCCCCCACCCACCGCTCCCATTCCAAATCAAAAATCTTATAAACTTAAGACATTTAGATGATATAATAATTCTTCAAAACATATTTTATATGAAAAATAACTTCAAATCTTCTAATCCTCCAACTTATATCTCATACACGTCCATTTACGTTCTTCCTTTTCCCTTTTAAGAGTTAATTATGAACTTTAAGTTTATATTTTTACTGTTTATATTTTTAGCTATTATTGCCCTTCGATTGAAAAGTTTTTACTAGGATTATAACTTAAAACTCTATTTTAATAAATTATCTCTCGTAATTTTTTATAAAAAAAAATTAGTTTAAATTTTTGACGGTTTGAGATTTTGTATTTTTCTAAATAATTTATTATCTCGTAATTCAAAACATTAGTTAAAACTTATTATTTCATTATCATAGAAAAGCAAAGAGAATAAAAAGAAGCATTCTTTGAAGAGGTTAGTTAGCTAATTTCAATGACATCTAAACTATGAATTAATGAAGAAAAAAACTATAGTGTGTTAAATTAAAATTTTTCAAATTACAAAAAGTCAAGCTTAAATTTATTATGATTTTTTTAAATAATAAAATATTGTATGAGTCAATATTTATGTAGTTTTTCTACTGTGAAATGTAAATATTATTATAAGACTTATCATATTCTAACAAATTGTCATACCTACCTGCTGAAGGAGAATTTTCTAAACTCCTAAGTATATTTTTCTAAATTTTATTATATTTACTATTTTAAAAGGATTACCATAGTTGAACCCATTACCATATGGTGTGGTCAAATATGATATATATACTAGATAATTTGTATTCAGTAATAATAATTACGTTAATTTATTAGAAAAACTGTAAATTAGCTTAATATCACATAAAGTTAAATACTTGATTGGATATTGTATAATATATTTTTTGATTAAGGTTTTACTTACTGTATAAGATATTATTTTTATTAGATTTGATATCTTTTTTATTCGAATATCATCTATTTTAACGTTATTTTTATCATGACTATTTTTTGTATTTCAATTCTCTTATACTAAGAAGATCTACTTTACAAAATTTAATGAATGATTATTTTTTATCTAAATCATGCAACACAAAAATTCAAAAAAAAAAATTTATAATGATTTTTCAAAAAATATAGTCTATAAAATATAATTGTGTCACTTAATTAGACAAATTGAGTCTCGTGTTACGTTAGTTTATATTCAACGAAAATTATGTGAGTTAACTAACCTTATTAAATTGCAAGTTGACTTCAAAGTTAAGTATTATTGCTTGATTCCTTAATTCAAATTGCACTAATTTACGTATTTATTGTCATAATGATTTTTACATGTGCAATAAAAGTTTAAAATTTGTGCTGTGATAAAGGTATTAAAAATTACGGACTTTGATTTATGGTTTGAAGATAGTTACCCCGATTGCCATGTTGAAAATGATGCACAAATAGTGTTTAAGTTTGTTTTGTTTTGTTTTTTTTTTTTCAAATTTTTTATATTTTAAGTTGTGATATGCGGATGTTATTAATTTAAATAAAATTTTTTTAACAATATTTTTAATTATATTTTTATGTAATTATATCTTTTATATCTTAATAAGAAAATTTATAAGTTATTTATGTCTTTATTTGTTAGAATAAATCTCTTTTTCTTAGACCCCTTTCTTTAGTAAGATGATTATCCTCCTATTTGTTTTATAATATTGTATTTCATATCTAGAAGAAGGTAATTAAAATATTATAAGTACTTTTTATAAAAAAAATAACACATGATAATTATAACGTGGTATTGATAGTTGTAATAGTGACGCCAATAATAAAAATAATAATTATGTTGATTAAAATAATAAGATTAATAATTAATAAAAAAATAATAACAATGATAATAGAAATAGATTAAGAATTATAATATTTTTTTTTTTTATAAAATAGAAGTACAATATATAATATATGTAGATATAAAAGATTTTTTAATATTTTTTAAAGCATTAGTAAAGTTAATAAACTTTATTCAACTTTCATGTGGTAATGGTAAAAACTAATTTTTAAAATATTAAGTAGGATAAGATAAAAATTAACATGAAATTCACTTAAAATTGAATGAAGTCCATCTTTATGTTTTATTGTTATTATTATCATTATTTTGGGATGGCATCAATTTTTTATTTCAGACATGGGCTTAAGAACAAGTCCATGAAGGTTGAAACCCATTTTCTCCTAGCCCCAAATGTCCTACTGTTCTACTTCTGTCTGTCCGTGTAAACCATAGTTCAATGATTTTCACGTAGCAGCGTTGACCACCCTTTTGGAGACACAGATCAGGAGATCGAGAGGAAGGAACCAGTGCTCTAGCAGCAAGAACCAGGATGAAGAAATTAATGGGAATCAACTCCAAGTTGTACCCTTAAACCCCTTGTTACCCCACCCCAGCATCAGTCCCTGTCGACTGATTCAATAGAGAAACCAACGAGAGGGGAGAAACAGGGAAATTCATTACAAAAAAAAAAAAAAAGGAGTTATTTTGGGCTTCGACGTGAATTGGTGGTGGGAAAGATGGCGTATAGGAGGAGGCAGCAAGGGTTAACATCCAGATTCGAGGAGCAATCAGCTGCAGATTTCGAGGGTGACGTTTTTATCGATGAAGATGGGCGTTCTTCTTCTTCTTCCTCATCTTCTTCGCCTTCGCTGGCGGCTAAAGCTATAAGAGCATCGTCCGCTTACAGAGACTCCTCTTTCTCCTCCGCGTACTCCTCATCTCGTCCTCCCACCTTCCCTTCTCCCTCTACTACCCTCAAGGTCCATTCTAGCTCAATTTCTTTATAAATTTTCTACTAATTTGTTGTGTTCCCTTTGTATATACATCTGGTTTCTTGGGTTGTTTTGCTCTAAGGTTGTGCTTGCGAATGTAGGATTCGAAGCCGCACGAGTATACCTCCATGAAAAATTTGAATGAACCCAAACAAGGATTTTGGGGTGTGCTGGCTAGAAAAGCTAAAGCTATTTTGGACGATGATAACCCTAACCAACAATCTGAATCACCTGTAATATCAAATTCAAATAAACCCATGCCATCCACAACAGCAGGGGCGGAGGTGGGAATTGAATTTTGCTTTTCAAAAGAAGGAGACTCGTTGCTTTGTTTCATTATCAGATAGTTGTATACCTTTAAGAGGCAATCCTATATATTATTTTGTTTCCTATTTGCAGTTCCAGAATGCATACAAAAACAAAGATAGTCACCGCAGGGCAGATAATCCTACATTGCAGAAGGGCCTAGAGGCAATCACATCGTCTATAAATTATATAGGTGGCACTATTGGTACTGCTGTTGAGGTAAAATAGCAAGAGTTTTCCTTTTTTTCTGGTTTCCTCGGCAGTATAAGTGTTAAATTTTGTTTTCCCTCCAATATTTGGCAAGAGAACTGGGGGCTTTTAGTAGGGATTGAAATGATTTATTATTTTCATAATCACCATGATGATATTGATTTCTCTTCATGCAATTCTTCATGATCATTCTGTTCTTCATATGTGCAAACTCTTAGTTTCTGATTTTATTCATCTTTGTCTCATGCCTTCATTCAGGTCAGTAACCTGTCAATACACTCCTTTGCTTAACTTTTTCAGGAGGGTCTCACAATTGTGGAAAACAGGACTGCGGGCATTATTGAAGGGACCCGTAAGCATATTAGGAAAAAATCTAGCAACTCTCGGGCGCAGAATCAGGCAGGAAAACAATCCCAAATGCAGAATCAAGGCCAAACTCAGATGCAAACTGATTTGGAAATCCAATTGAAGGCATCACGCGACGTAAGGTGGCAACTTTATTTTGTTGGTTCTTATGGGGGAGGCATGTTTGCCTTTGCTTGTGTGGGCTTTCTTTACTCCTGCAACCTCCCCCTTTTAAAAGCTTACTAGCCTTTCTACTAGATGGCTTCTTGTTGAATACACAGACAACAATGGTTCCCGAAGACAACTGTGTCTGTCTTTGTCGTAGGCTTATCATGTTTGGTATTATATTCTGTTTTGAAGTTTTCAGCACCTAAAGATTGACTAGAAATTCCTGACTGACCTAAAACCAAGCTTCTTAGTTTCTTGAACTGGACTTTGGATGAATTCTTTGTCAGGCTCCAAGTTTATGGGTGTTAAGACATATAATTCTTTAATGCAAAGATACTCATAAGTTTAGTATGCATTATTATCATTTGTCTTATTTCAAGGATATATTGCATTAAATTTTATCACTTGTGGTTTAAATTGTTGCATATCTTTACCTTTCTCTATTTTATTTTTAAATACATTTGGCAGTTTCTCCTAAAAGCTGTTCTTTCTCAGTTGTTATCTTTTTTCATTTTCACAATACTTATATTTCCATGGAAGTATGAATAATTGTATCTTCCTGCTCATAGTTTTCTTATTATTACTGCTCTTAGTAAAATTTTTGACACAGAGAGGGATATTGCACATTTGGTCTTCTATTCTTATCATATCATCTGGGAAAGTCTGATTCCAGTATGTACATTTATGCTTTCCATTAGTTGAAGTGCCAAGACAAACATGTGTACAAGGATCTAAGGAACAAGATTTAAGGTTATTTTTTATCCCAGTAAGATAGTTTTGGATGGAGAAGGAAGTCATTGTCTCTTATAAGGATCCTTTAAAATGATAAATTCATCCTTTAAGATTAGACGTATGATCTGTGTCATTTATTGTGCAACAGGTTGCAATGGCTATGGCTGCCAAAGCAAAGCTCCTTCTGAGAGAGTTAAAGACTGTGAAAGCTGATCTAGCTTTTTCGAAGCAGCGATGTGCTCAGCTGGAGGAAGAAAATAAAATCCTCAGAGAGAGTCGTGATAGGGGAGACCACCAAGAAGATGATGATCTTGTATGCATTTCTTTCCTTTCTTACCTTCTCCCAAGTACCCGTTTTTTACTGTGTCCCTTTACTAATGTTCTGGAGAAAATCTGGGAATGAAAAATGTCTAGTTCTTTTTCACATTGTTTTTCTCTTTTCAAGGATTAGGCATTAGCTATGGTAATAAACTAAGTGAGTTCAGGATAGATGTTTGGTTTTTCCATCTCTGCCTCCGTGCTATGAATTAGTATTCACTGGTCATTGATCTCTCCCTAGTTCAGGATGGAAATTTTTTTGCTCCACATTGTTCTGAAACTCACTTCTCTGTCCCTTGTCATTTTCCCTAGTTGTCTCTATGAAAAAATAAGTATATAAAAATAAATATGAAAACGTAACAGAAAATATATATACATGTTTAATATTTGAAATTTTCTAGATATCATCGTTAAGTGTATATATATGTGGGGCAGGTCAGCAGCTTAAGATATCCAAAACCCAAAATCTATTTTATTCAATCCCCAGTCCAAGCCCCACCGTAGTGGGGTGGCTTGGAATGTGCAAATTCTCATTCCAATCAGGATTCTTTTTTGATCCCCTATTAAAAGGATCTTTAGACTGAGATTTACAATCTAAAAGACATCCTGTTGGATAGTCTGCAATCTTCTATGTAATTATCACTGCATTGACCAAGTTTTACGTGTCTTTTTGGAAAGACGAATGAAGCACCTTGAAACTTACCCCCTTCCACCAATTATATATTCTGATTCCCTAGTTTCTATTTCAGATACGGCTTCAACTGGAAACACTCTTAGCAGAGAAGGCCCGATTGGCACATGAGAATTCAATCTATGCACGTGAGAATCGCTTCCTAAGAGAGGTTGTTGAATTCCACCAGCTCACGATGCAGGATGTTGTATACTTGGATGAGGGCACTGAAGAAGTCACTGAAGTTTACCCTATTAAGGTATCCACGGTTTCTAATCCACACTTAATTCCAACTACATCTCTATCCCTGTCCTCTTCACTACCTCCTGAAGTGTCAAACGACAGAGGTTTTCTAGCAACCCCAGAGGCCTCTCCTCATCCCTTGGTTTTTCCCGAACCTGCTGAAGTTTCTCAAAATTCTGCTAAACCAAGTTTGTATCTTCCAGGAATGAGTGCACAGGATGCAAAAAAACATCCGGATCCTTCTGTTTGAGTGGCATTATACCATATCATGCCTTACCACCACCAAATGTTTGTTGCAATATACGGTATTGTCCTTTATTTTTTGGGGTATTGTTTTTTGGGCAAAGGTCTCCTTGGCTGATATGGCACTACTTGTATCTTCCATTGTGTATTTGAAGCCCTTGGGTTCGTCATTTAGACATATAATATTATACCTGATTAAGTAGACATATAATATTACACCTGATTAAGTAGACATATAATATTACACCTGATTAGGTTTACTTTTTTCTTATTATGTATGTCAATATGATAGCCATAGAGACGAAAGTTCATTTATTTATTTGTTTCACTGTCCCGATAGAATATGATGTTTGAAACTGTAATTTATCTGGCCGATTCTTGTTGCTCTTTACTCTCTTCTATAGTTTGTGAAGCAGTGTTGATGATCAGGATAAAAATACTTGCTCAGTTTGTTATTTGGGATTTTCAATATGATCTTAGCTAATAGAACAATAATTTTATTGCATTATTTATTCATTTTATTAGAGGATATGAACATATGTAAAAGGATTGGAATATGAAATGCCTTATAGTTTCAACCTGGAAGATCTTTGTCATAACTCACGAGAAAAACTGAGTAGATGATATCGGGAGCAAGGGATCCAAGCCTCTTTTGGTCTATGAGCGCCAAGCAAAGGGAATATGATGTGGCTGGTTGTCCAGGTTTGACAGAGAACGTATGAAAATAAATGGTTACCATACTGCAATTTAGTTAGTCCATTTCCATTCTGCTATAGCTGTTTTGATAAGATTTCATTATATATATATATATATATTTTTTTCAAAAATTTCACGTGGAAGGATATGTGGGAGTTGTAGCGTGGTCCTCATGCATATGAAGTCTACTAAATTCGAATCTATCAAAATTCAACGGTTCTTAGTGAATTTGCAGAATTTTCTCCGTATCTTCTTTCTTAATTCTCTTTTGTATCTCTCTATTCTTTCACTCTGGGTTATCTTCTGTAAACCTTCTGGATTTTCTTACCTAATCCTCACTGGAGTACATGTCAAAGGCTCCTGATAATCTTGTATGTTGGGGAAGTAGAATGTCTTTCAAAATAACTGGAAAAACAAGCTAATGGAACATTACTGTATGACTTTTTTTTTTTTTTTTTATTTGGGAAAGCCTCACAGTACAAGTTGATGCCTATTAATTTGACCAAAGCCCTGCATAATGGACATGTTCTCACCCAAACCTAAAACCATACTGTTAACATTTCAAGCATATGACCATGGAAATTCAAATTAAACCTTACATGAATGAAACAGAATTTGAGAATGCATGTGTAATAAAATCATGATAACCCCTACAGAAGATACACGGTTCTTGACAAAAATATACATTCATAGCATGTGAATTTGCAGGGATTGATTTTTTTTAAGAAAATGTTTTTCTATTCCATAATCAAGAATCTATAAATATTCAGTTAGAAGATCCTCTGTCTTAACTTGGTTTTTCTAGTTTCGATCTTTTACTTTACTGGATGGTAATGATTTCTTTAATTGTGATCCCTTTGAGGAGGTTTACATGAATTTACCACTCAGCTACTGAAGGAAAGAGGAAGGTTTCTTGTAATATAAAGCTGATTTGTAAGTTACGTAAATTCATATATAGGTTAAAACAGGCTTCAAGACACTGGAAGTATAAACTGCCGTGCAAGTTTATGGAGGAGGAGAATGAAAGAGAGCCGTGAGTCCACTGGGGAAACAGAGTGATTATAACAAAGCTTTATCCCACTAGTTATTATTATTATTATTTTTTCCTCCACGTGAATCTCAATTACTTTATTTTATTAGGATCAACCCGTTGTTGCAGAAATTATAAAATTATTCAAAAATAGATTTTGATCATTGATGTGATTTCAAAGCAGCAACATCATATGGGACCAGAACTGTGATCAGCATTATATGGTTGGCAATAATGAATTGACGATCATTCTTCGGGTGACAATTCATTGAAACCAACCAACCACGTTTCACCCTCACCTCAATTATTATCATCAATTTCTTTCCCATCAAACTCCCTGCATTTTTTCAAACCTTTTTAACAAACGATATATATCTATATATATATATATATGTATATGTATATCTGACTCAACGTCCGTAACTGTTATTTAAGGTTTACCTACTCACCTGCTAGATATTTCTTCCGACCGTCAGCTCTACACACCACAAGTTAAACCCTTAACTGGAACTTCCCATCAGGTAGCTTTTGATGATCTGGGT